AAAATAATTTGTTTATTGACTAGCAATAAATTACAATTGTTGGTACAGTGGTTGAACGCTAGAAAGCTTGACAAGACCTTTAGATACTAACTACACTCTATAATAGCTCAAGTAAGAAAATATGAGTGACATGAGTGGACGTATAACAACTGAAAGAAAATTATGACGCAATTGAAGTTGGACAAATTATGGCTATGAGTAGTCAAGAGGCTAAGTATATTTGCAATCCTTGACATTTTCGCCAATTTCTTTGGCGACATATTTGATACCTTTAATGTATGATATGCTTCAATTAGTGGTTTGAAAGATCCAATGTCTTTAACTTTTTCCTAAGTATTCTCCTTGATGTTCCATCCTCTCTATTTTCCAAGTACTCTTGATGGTCTTTCATGGAAGCTTTGGTAACTCGATGGTCAAGAATAGTTTTAACAACCCATTTTCCTACTTTATTCACGTCAAATTTAGGTTACTCTAGCTTATTTTTGGATGTGTCCTCCTTACCTGCAAAATATGATTTAAGTATACTGATATGGAGGACATTGTAAGTTTTATACCATAAATGGTGTTCTGCTTCTTGTGCAAATTTTTTAATCCGTTTCATGATGCGTAATGTCCCAATATATTTTGAAGTTAATCCGAAACCTTACCCTATTAAAGCTTATAAAAGTTCTTATGGGGAAGTTTAACCATCACCAGTTCTCTCATTGAATTCTTGCAAACAACATTTTTTTATCAGCAAAATTTTGGTACCATTTTTATGCTTTCTCAATATAGTTTTGAGCAATTTCTTTATTTTATTTCCATTCTTGAGAGAAGCACTTAGCTTAGGGGACTTGGTACTTAGATCAATATAAACAATATGAGGGAGTAATAGTTGTTGGCTAGTAAAAATCTAAAAATGATTATTTTTGGTGGAAGAGTTGGGCATTGAAGAAAAATTGAGTCATATCCAAATATTTTGCCCAATTATTCTGTGAAGTAGAGATAAAGCGTTGAAGATATTTCTCCAACATAGAATTGAAACGCTATTTTTATATGTACGTCAGATTGTGGATAGAAATAAAAACTTATGCTTGAAGTTAAACCAAGAAATTTGAATAACTCGATCCAAAATGTTTAGGTGAACTAAGGTTCTCGATCACTGAGTATATCTTTACCCAAACCCCAATATTCGACAGTATGTTTGAAAAAGAATGAAAAGTCTTTTCAACATATAAATATTTAGGTGTTGCGATAAAAGTTGCATATTTTGATAGAAGGTCTATTACGACAAGTATAGTACTAATATCTCCAACCTTTGGTAAGCCAATAATATAGTTTATGAATACACTTTTAAATGGCCTAATTAAGATGGAAAGGAGCACTGGCAAGTTTTTGATGATATTCCTTATTCTGTTGATAAAGGAGACAAGTTTTCATACAAGTTCAATATCATCCCTCAACTGCGAATAACAAAATGCACATTCTTCTCTAGGATTTCCCATCCAAAATGTGTCATGGAATTGAGAAATTAAGGATTTCCTCAAATCTCCACCATTTAGTACATACATATTTCCTTTTTGTCTTGACCGGACCTTCATCCAACCAGAACTGTTGAGTTTTGCCTTGCTTAATAAGGTCGACCAAATACGGTGTTGTAAGATCATTCTCTAAAAGTACCCATATTTGAAATCTTGTGTTTGTAATAACATCGCTCCCTGAAAGAGTAACCAACGAATAAATAATAACTAAGTTTGCCCATTGAATGATTACATATGTTATATGATTGCTAGAACTGGCATGATATTCTAGTACAAAATTGAACTTCGATACTATTGAATTTGAACTCACAAATTAAAAATATAACTTTATTTATGAAATGAAATTTATACAAATTTTTGATACACACACCAAGACTACTAACCTCACTAATATTATTACAAAATGAAGCACTCAAAATATTCTCTCTCTCTCTCTCTCTCTCTCTCTCTCTCTCTCTCTCTCTCCACTCACATTTCACCAAGCACTCAAAATATTCTCTCTCACTCTCTCTCTCCACTCACATTTCACCATGCACCATTCCCTATTTATAGAGGTACAAGGTGGTGACAATTCTTCTACACAAAAGTTGATGATTTTAGATAATTCCACTAATTGATTATAAGCCACTTTCCTAGAGAAATCTAGAATGGTAATAGACAATATCTTCAATGTATTCTCTAGATTTTTCATGAATGGCGGTGGTCTTCATTTTCAGCAAGTGATGAATCTCTAGAATATTCTACATGCTTAAGTCCGGCAAATTCTAGATAGTTAAAGTTAGTGATGATTTCTTCAATTCTCCCTTCAACACCAACTTTTCATTTTAACTCTTTCCTTTTTCGTCACGCTCAATTTTGCCTTGATGAATTTGAAGTGTTTGATCCTTTATTCAACTCATCTACTGCTTCAAATAAATATGGCATTTCCATACTTTCCCCTCCATCTATTTCTAAATTGGAATGAATTAATACTTAATTTCCCACGTTTGTCCAACTTTTTTATTTGAGGTTGTAAATTTGTACATACCTCAATCTCTTGTTTTTGACTTGGCCTAATCTTCTTTGATTTTACCTCGTCACTTGATCTTTGTGTATATTTTGTTTTCTCGTGGCTTTGTTGTACTTCTATTGTTTTCTCTTGCAATTTGTCTTCTGTTTTCTTTAAATCTAGCAGCTCTACCCTCTGTTGTGTTTCCAAAGAATATACTTCTTCAAACATTTTTTTCTTTTTTGGTTTGGTCATTTCACCTTCCATTGAGTCCACCAAGAAGGCTCTTCCTGAACCACAATGTCCCCTCTTGAGTCATCGACCCAATTATTTTCGCAATCCAATTGTTTAGTCAGGACCACCACTAACTAGAATTCATCCTTTAAACTTGAATTTAATTTCTTTTCTCGAGCCTGCTCAATTGTTGTTGTGGTTACCTCAGCATCCAATTCTTCTTCACTAATGTATTTATCTTTGTTGTTGAAGGTTGCTACATTACCTTCTGCTGACCCCTTTTAAAGTAACAGTCTCTAACATAATGATCTTGTTTTCCACATACAAAACACGAGTCATTTAGGCTCTGTTTAGTACTCTTTTCTGTCATCAACCACCGTAGTGATATGTGATGCGTCCATCACTTTATTATCGAGGGTCATCAGTCACAACTCTAATACCAACGACTTCGAGTGTCCTCTCCTCTAGCGTAGAAAGGGACACAATGTGATTATAATCCACTCCGGTAGAAAGCATTTCACTTATTCTTAGTTGATTCGAGAACAAAAGACAACTTATATATGTAGCAGTGTTGTATCTCAAAGATGAGAACAAAAGATTTCAAGAAATTATGATAACAGAAGATTTGAATCTGTTGAACTTGTTTATTGATTAACAAAAACAGTAAATTAAAATTCTTTGTGCAGGGAGCACATGAGAAAGCTTGAAAAGATTTCGAACACCACCCTTATGATAATTTAGGTGAGGAAACCTAAGTGACATGAGTACATATTTGAAAGCCAATAAATCATATACGTATGTACAAACAACATGATTTTATGAAAAATTGAAATAACCTTTTACAATTGAAAGAAAATTACAACTTCAACTAATATTTACAAAGGACAAAGTTAGGCAAACTGCGATTGCAAATGATCAAGGGGCTAAGTATGGATGTGATCTTTGACACACGACCTGAAAATCTCGTTTGATTGAATTTTTTCGCTATCCTAGACAAAACATGGAACATGTCCAATGCAATTTGTATGACCTCAGGAATGGTTCTAATATTTCTATTAATTCATTCATCTTTATCATATATAAAATATTATTTTGCTAAAAGTTAGGTTACAAATTAAGCCCTTGTTTGTCTACCATTCTTTCAAAACTCTTTTTTTCTAAAACTCATTTTCATAATAAAATATTTTGCACGTAAATCAAAATTTTCTCTACTTTTTAACCAAACATTTTCAAAAAAGTCACTATTTCAAAATTTATTTTTCACAAAATCCTCTTTTAATGAGCATCAAATAAGGGCACAGTTGATTAGATTATAAGAGGTAAACAGTGGATATGCTAGATTCGAGGACGTAAAAAGAAGGCAGTATCGTATAATAGATCATGTTGGTGTTACAATTACGTTAATTTTTACGACACTTGTGAAATGTTCAATTGAAATAAAAATATTAAGCCATATCTGAAACTAATTTATTATCATTTTTTTGGGTAAAAAAATCCCATTCATTTTTAACTCATGTTCTCCTAAGCTATTATATTTTACACTTTTCCTCATTTTAGCAACACATCTATAATATATTAAAATATCATATCAAATTCAATTATTTTAATAATACCTTACTTTTCTTTTTTCGATATATAATAAATACTACAAAAATATTGTCATTTATGAAATTTGTGTTATTAATTCTCAATTAATTACCATTCACATTAATCCATATTTAATGAATTTTCACTTGATGAATCTTGAATTACATGAATTTAGAGTTATTATAGATGAATTTATTCATATTAATGTATATAGAAATTTTAATAAATGTTTAAATTTATGTATTAACAATTAATTTTTATGTATCAAATGTAATAAAAAAAGATTTTTTATTTATAGTATTTCATCATTACAAAAAATTTGAATCATAAAAATTGAGTTTTAAGAGTATAATTTGAGTAGAATTTTCTTCTCTTAAATTTTTATACTAAATTTTGTTTTCTTGACTTCGTCCGAGACTCATCAAATTCTTCAACAAATTGATATCAAATATTATTTTTATATCACTTATAGAGTATTTAAAATAGAGTATTTAAAATAACGTGCAACACACGTTTAACTTTAACTAATTAAAAAAAAAATCACTTAAAATCAATTTCACACAAAGCCTTCAACCTCTTGTAAAATTTTGCCAAATAATCCTGGAAGATATGGCCCACAAGTTTTCTTCCCTGCAAACCTACCAACTTCAATCAGCTGACCCACTCTTCTCTTTCCCTTCCATGCACCCCACTCCCCAATCCCCTCCCCACGTCTCACCCCGTGCCCCTACTTTTTGTTCTCTCCAATCCACCGCAGGGTTCAATCCAATACACAACCTTTCCCATACCCTTTTTCGTAATTTCACACTAACTATCATCGTCTTCCTCTTTCTCCCAAGTCCAAGTGTACTCTTAACACGCATACTACACACACAATATAACCGCCTCGTTACCTTTTCTCCTCTATTGCTAGGGTTTCCACGCAACCAAATAATTATCTCGATCGCCTCCAAATTCTGTGTAAGATTTTTCTCTCTACCGCTCTCTTTTGCTGTCATAAAAAAATTCAGGTATTCTTCGATCGCATCGAGCTTTTCGCCTTTTTGTGTGTGGAGTGTAGGTGTGGCGTGATTGATTTTTTCTTTTGTTTGTTATATTTCGTGAGTTTGTTTCGTAATTACGTTTTTGGCTTTGTTTGTAATTTATTTTTTTTTTGGTTGGATTATGAATTGGATCGTTGGAATTTAAGAATTGGGGTTTGATTTTAGGAAAAAGTGGGAATTTTGTTCCTTTATACTTTTTTTTTTCTTTTGTTTTTTTGTTTTGTCTATGCTGGTTTAAGTGATTGAGATTATTTTTTAATGTGAATGCATTTTTTGTTATTCTAGGGTTTTGAATTGGACTCAAATTATTTGTGGTTTGTCTGTGGCTATGTTACCGTTGAATGGGGGTTGAGAAAAATAGCTTCAAAGTGTCTAGATTTGATCAAGAGTATCATTCTTCACACAGTAGGGACACAATTATGTCTAGTGATGATGATGATTTTCAGCGTCGGAACTCTGTTTCAGTTGTTGAATCTGACGATGACGATGAATTTGATGATTGTGATTCTGGGGCAGGGTCTGATGACTTCGACTTATTAGAGTTAGGTGAAAGTGGGGAAGAGTTTTGTCAAGTTGGAGACCAAACTTGTAGCATTCCTTACAATCTGTATGATCTCTCGGGGTTAAAAGATGTGCTGTCTATGGAGGTTTGGAATGAGATTCTCACTGAAGAGGAAAGATTTAGTCTTGCCAAGCATTTACCTGATATGGACCAAGAGAATTTCGTGCACACCCTAAAAGAGCTTTTTGGTGGTGGTAACTTGCATTTTGGGAGCCCTGTTGATAAGTTGTTCCAGATGTTGAAGGGAGGGTTATGTGAGCCAAGGGTGGCACTTTACCGTCAGGGTTTGAGTTTCTTTCAGAGAAGGCAGCATTATCATAACTTGCGGAAGCATCATAATGCCATGGTGAACAATCTTTGTCAGATAAGGGATGCATGGCTGAATTGCAAGGGGTACAGTATTGATGAGAAGCTTCGTGTGTTGAATATTATGAAGAGCCAGAAGAGTTTGATGAATGAGAACATGGAGTTGGGGAGCGAGTCATCTGATAGAGAGGAGTCAGGTGATGGTTTGTGGGGCAAGAAGGGAAAGGATCAGAAGCTTGGGCAGAAGACAGGTCGGTATGGTTATGGCACGGGTCCAGCCTCAGATTTTTCTTCTCATGGCCGGCAAATTGCTATGGAACCAGCAAAACGTGGTAAGCAGAATCTCAAAGGAACTCTGAAATTGGCTGATTCAAAGTCTACTTCAACAAGAGAGTTAGCAGGCCACTTCCCAACAAGTCACCAGGGATTGGAAATGAAGATGGGGACATATATTTCTCCACTGCCTCCTTCTCGACATAATAAATCTGCAGGGTATGCATCTTCAGTGGCAGCTCGGATGAGTCAGCAGATAATGGAGGATGAATATGCTGATGATGATGATGATGATGAAGCAATGTATGAAGTGGCTGTGCAGAGAGACCGAAATTTAGCACGAGTTGGGGCAACAGATAGAGCTGGGGTGTCGAAATTGGGAAAGAAACGAAATGACCCAAGAACTGAAGAGTACACTGACAGTTTCATTGGAGCGCCTATGTCATCGAAGAATGATTTACATGTTTTTGGCAGGAACAAGACCATCAATCAATTGTCTGATATCAAGGTGTTAACTACAAAGCCAGTCAATGCAAGAACTGCATATGACTATGGGAAAAAGATGAAGTACCCTGATAATGTTCAGCAATTTTCTGGTGAAAATCAGATGAAATTTAGTAAAGGTCAGAAATCAAACTTGTCACTTAAAGGAAGTCAAATAGAGTTATTAGATGGAAGTGAACAGTTATGGCTGAGCAAACAACATGGTTTACCTTTTCCTGCTGATTTTTCGTACAAACAGAATGACACGTCTGCCAAAGGTAAAAAGTGGAAAACAGTTAAGGACTCTGCTGATGTGAAGTCAAGTGACAAATTATTGCATTCAAAGTATAAAGCTAAGCCTGTAGACGAGAAGTTCCCAGGGAATTTTTCGCTGAATGGAGGACGAGATGTAGCAGGAAGCAGAGGTATTAGGGCATTTCCCAGAAGTGAAGAAACAGAGTCGGACTCATCAGAACAAATTGATGAGGAGGAGGATGACAATCCTTTGATGAGGAGGAAGTGGGCTTATCCTGGTGGTGTGACAGATATGAAAAAGGCCAAACTTCCTAAGAAGGATAAAAAAGATCGTTTTTTGGCTCTTGATGGATCGTCACACTCTTCCAAAAAGATAGATGATTCTGGTGAACATCTATGGATGATGAAAGCAGAACTAAAGGGTAAGTTGCGTGATAGTGGCTACTTAAATACTTTTTACCCTGAAGATGTGGATAACGACTATTTTCCTGAACCAGGTAACTTAACTGGAAGAGGTGATTGGCAACAATCTTTCAAGTCAGCAAGAAATGGTCATCTAGAAGGTGATAATGGCGAAAGGTTTCGCATGCCATCGCTGAAGTCAAATTATGTGCAAGACTTTGATCTTGAGAAGGAGGATTTGCTCTGGACACGACCGCTGGCAATGGATAATGGAGTACCTTTCAAGTTGGGGAAAAAAGGTCAAATAGTTGAATCCTACATTGAAGATAATGAGAGATCTGATGTATCGCTATTGGGTTGTAACACCCTCTCAAAGAAGCGGAAAGCAAAGGATGATTTAACGTACATGGACCATAATAATGAATACCTCCACTCAGATACTCAGCTGCAACTTGATGGTACAAGCTCCTTGAAGAAACGGGGAAAAAATAAGTTGGAGGATGTGTCTGATTCTTTAGAGAAGGGAGTTACCAAGGTACCTATTTTGGATATGCAAGTGGAAGACGTTGAGGCTGAAATCAAACAACAGAAAAAGCCTTTTGCTTTGATTACACCTACTGTTCATACCGGTTTTTCAATCTCCATCATTCATCTTCTTTCAGCAGTTCGTATGGCGATGATTACATTGCTTCCAGAGGATAATTCCGAAGCTGGCAAGGATCTTGATCAGAATGACACTGGAAAGGGGATCGAGGAGGAGCAAGAAAGAAAGCAGGAAGATACCAATGGGATGCATTCAAATGCAAACCTGGATGTTAGCACTTCTGTGCCTTCTGATCAAGTGAATGTTCCTTCTCTCAGTGTTCAAAAAATAGTTAACCGTGTGAGATCAAATCCTGGTGATCCCTGCATTCTTGAAACCCAGGAACCACTTCAGGATTTGGTAAGAGGAGTTTTAAAAATATTCTCATCCCGAACGGCGCCTTTAGGAGCAAAAGGGTGGAAACCACTTGTTGTCTATGAAAAATCAAAAAAATGTTGGTCATGGATTGGTCCCATGTCTCATAATTCATCTGATCATGAAGCTGCTGAGGAGGTGACATCTCCAGATGTGTGGGGTCTTCCTCACAAAATGCTTGTCAAGTTAGTTGATTCATTTGCTAATTGGCTGAAAAATAGTCAGGATACGCTCCAGCAAATAGGAAGTCTTCCTGCCCCTCCTTTGACACTGCTGCAATCTAATTTAGATGAGAAGGAAAGGTTCAAGGACCTGAGAGCTCAAAAGAGTCTGATCACCATCAGCCCAAGCTCTGAAGAAGTAAGAGAATACTTCCGGAAGGAGGAAATCCTTAGGTATTTAATACCGGACAGGGCTTTTTCGTACACAGCTGTTGATGGTAAAAAAACGATTGTTGCTCCTTTAAGAAGATGTGGTGGCAAGCCAACATCAAAGGCTCGAGATCATTTTATGCTAAAACGTGATCGACCACCTCATGTTACAATCCTTTGTCTCGTTAGAGATGCAGCTGCTAGATTACCAGGAAGTATTGGAACTAGAGCTGATGTTTGTACTTTGATTAGAGATTCACAATACATTGTGGAAGATGTGTCTGATGCTCAAGTGAATCAAGTTGTTAGTGGAGCATTGGACCGTTTACATTATGAGCGAGATCCTTGCGTACAATTTGATGGGGAGAGGAAATTGTGGGTTTATTTGCACAGAGATAGAGAAGAAGAAGATTTTGAAGATGATGGGACTTCATCCACGAAAAAGTGGAGGAGGCAGAAGAAGGATGCTACTGAACCATCTGACCAGGGGGGTGTTACTGTTGCTTACTCTGGGCATGTGGAGCCACCAGGCTTTGATTTGGTTTCTGATCTCAATGTTGAGGCATCATGTGCAGATGATGATAAGGGATCAGAGCTTGTTTACCCCAGTGGTAATGATCAGGTGGACAATGTTGAGACTAGCCATGGTTCCAAACATGGTGACTTGCATCAAGGTCCTTCTCCAATGATATGGGATGGTCTTGGATTGAGTTCTATGCAAGAAAATAAGTTGCTATGTCAGGAGAATTCAACCAATGAAGATTTTGGGGATGACCCATTTAGTGGAGAGCCACCAGCGTGATTATTGAATACGAGATTTTGTTTTTAGCTATCAGGTAATTAAGATGCAATTTTTTGAACTAAATAATATGATCTTGCTTACTGGCCTCATCGTATGCTTTTTCTTTTCCCTCTGAGAATTGAGATGAACCAAATGCTGAACGCACTGTATTAAGATTGGCTGAAAAGTGGTTCACATGCTGTAAACATCTTTTAATAGAGGATTCACTTTGATTACTGTTTACTGTTATGGCAAGATTCCTTAGCCACCTTCCTGCAGATTGAATTTTGTGCCTTCAAATTGTTGAGTCTGCAATATCTTATGTTTTTCTTTGACTTGTGATGTTAATTTTACGTCAGCTGTGTTAGAAATTCCAGTTTTATTGAAAGTAGGGGGGAGGTTGCTAATTGATTCACGTAAAGATAGGGCAAGTTTGGAAGTGGTTGTGATATTATTATTCCTAACAAAAAGTTGGGTTTTTCTTTCCTGGCTGGAGGAGAATCATGAGTTGACTACTTAGAGAAAGTACTTGCCGGTTATATATGTTCATTTGAGGGTAATTTCTTTTTACCAATGTGATTTATTGTTAAATGTATTCTGTCTCAATGGGTTTCCATGAGCTTTCTTACACAAGTCAGTTTTGTTACTTCGTACTTGTAGCTCGGAATCTCTAGGTGCATCATTTTATGCCAGATCTATTATATGGATTTTGGATTTAGTTTCCAGTAGACGTCAGTCAGTTGGCGTCACTCAACATCTTTATTTCTTACAGTGAATCAATGGGGTCATTTACCAGTGCTCCTATGCTGCTACATAATGCAAAGAAAAACTCCCATCTTTTGGATGCCCGAGCAGGTATATAATATTTGCTAGTGGAAGTTCTGAATGTACCCCCTCGCGCAAGAGAGATGAACCCAACGATTGTGAACAATCAAGGATTTGTTCATCTATTCTTAATTTGGAGGATAAATAGGTGCATGTTTGGTACGTGGGCTGTATTGGATATTACAATAACCAAGATGTTGGCTTCTTTTCTTCATTAATATTGTCAAGTGTATTACCAAACAAGCTGCAGTAGTTCAAAGTTGGACCGTTGAATTGTATTGATCTTGTATGCCCTTTTTTCTTCTTGTATATTTGTCATCTTTATGATTGATTTTTTTTTTTTACCTCAGTACTGTACTTATATGAGGTTTTGTATATTCGTAGGATAGAGAAGAAAACCGAGTCTACTCTTGAAGGAAGGTATTTACGCAGAACGACCATAGTAGCATATGTAAATATAGTATATGAAATACGAGATAAGCTTTTTGCAGTATTTTCTGGGTAAACGTTGAACTGCTGGGGACATGCATTTACTCTGGTTGGTTATTTCTGTACTAGAAGAGATTTCTCTTTAGAGACTTTCATAATTGTATTGTTTCCAGTGTTTTGAGAAACGTAATGCGTGGCGATACGCTGAAGTCAAGCTATGAGTTAAGCGAGAAACGTAATGCGTGGCGATACGCTGAAGTCAAGCTATGAGTTCAGCGAGGCATAAATGTAAAAATGTGTTTTCTTATTTTAATTTTTAATCAATCAAAAAATTGTTTAATAATAATTAAAAATGATACTTGCCAAACATTTAAAACAAATTGTTAGGAAATTTCTACATTTTTTCATAGTTTTCAACAAAAAGATAAGTTCCAAATGTAAATATTAAATAATAAATAAATAGAAATATTTGGGAGATTTTCTTTGTTCAAAGCTTTAAGTGACTAATTTGAATTTAGAATCAACGAAGTGAAGAAATCAACTTTTAATTTTTAACTTAAAAGAATTGTAAATGATTTTTTTTTTCTTAATAATAATTATGCTCGCCTAGGCGCACATTAGTGGTCAACGATTTTTGTTGACTGTTAAATAAGGTGTCAAGCTACTTGACCAACGTTTCCACCACGCATCTTGAATTGGTGACGCCTAAGTACCACCGATGCGCGCCTTTTAGAACAGTGATTGTTTCTCACAAAGCCTATTTCTTCTAGTTTTGCATCCCATTTACATACTACCAGGATTGAGATGGTACACTCTCTTTCTGGGTCGATAAATTTCAATTTAATGCAGTAATCTCGGTTCTCAAAGAATGGCTTGAAGAAACAGAAACATGCAGAGCCCCTTAAACTGTCTGGTATAAAGATAATATTATCCCCAAAAAAATAAAAATATTTAAACATTAGATTCTCCTGTTACAGACACCCCAATGACAGCTAAATTTTACCTCTAGTTGGAGAATTTCCGAAACTGAAACTCTCTTTGATTCTCCAAAGGAAAAATGAAAATCGGAAGCTATTTTCTTCTCCATACCATGCTTTACACCACCAAGAATATGATTTGTTCAAAAATACAACCAACAAATGTAATTCATCAAACTATAAATTCTGTACAAATATCATTTTAATACTATACCATATGTCTTTTTCATTCTGTCGAAAATCGATTTTACGGTATAAACGCTTATGACCTCCCCCTCTATGCCTTGCGGTATACATTTGCTTTAATTTAGAGCAGTGAGAGGAGCACGGGAGTCTTTCAAGGAATGGACAGCCTCTAAAATATGCTTTATGTCTCCATTCACTTGTTTCGACGATTTTGCATCCCAAAGTGACTTTAGCAGTTCCTCAAAACTTGGGGTTCTGAGTTCTTCAATGGAAGAAACGCTTGGAAAATTGAATTCTCTTTTTCTCGGCGTTGAGCATGATGGTTGATCCACCTGTCAATGAAGAAGCCGACGTGAAATTAAGTCCACGTTTCACCACCATTAAAACAAAGCTCAAATTTTTTCTACTTCTTAACCACACATTTTCTAAAATATCACTATTCCAAAACTCATTTTAGTAGTTGTCAAACAGGGGCTAAAAATAACTTTAAGCATGCCCAGTGTATCGGTCCAAGCTGTAGGGGCCTGTGGCCAACACGTTCCTATATTTTTAAGTTAAAAAAATAATAATAATAAGAAATAAATAAATCCTGTATGATGCCTGACCTAAAAAGGAGCCCACAAGCCTAAATACAAGGTATCCTACTGCTCTGTACCTGTGAATATTGAGTCTAAACAAAATTATTTGTACAACTTGATGCAAGGGAGGCTCAGATTGTCTTACCATGTATTCTTCTAAAAGGCATTTTCCCGCATTCTCTGTGATTTCTACAGTCTTGTGGTAGTGTCCGCTCTTCAGTTCCCTCAAGTTTCCACAGCATGGATCAATCATTAAGTTAAGATTCCCACATGCCTCGCGGTCCAGTTGAAGTGATCCTGCATGGATTTTTTTAGTCAAATACTATTTAGTATGTGAAATAATTCAATTTGAAAGGCATCTCTTACGTTCAATAGACGAGAGAACATTGTTGCTTCCTATATCTGCATCTGCAAGTGCAGATGACATAGCAGAAGAAATTTTTGCACGCAATACTTGACTGGTCTCCATCCCTCCCCTGTAGTAAATATATATAGCATATTTTAATTCATTTCATTAAAAATATGCACGCTCAACTTGAAGTTCACGACCAAGGAAATCATAACTAACCTAACTATTTCATCCACAGAAGCAACGTTGCTCTCCTCTAAATCGAGCAAGGATTCTTGAGCATTGCACCATTGTTGCGCACCCAATTTTGCTTTTTCCAAACTGCACATTTTGATTTTAATTCACGATAGAAGACAGGTGAGAATCTAGAAAAAATGATACCGATGAATATATAGAGCATGTTTGGCTAAGCTATTTAAAACTTACTTTTATTTTCAGCGAACATTTTAAGCATAGTAAAATGTTCTCTTACCAACAAGCATGCAGTGTACACTCACCAGTTTTGGAGAACCTCTTCCATATCCTTTTTCCCACGTTCCACTGAAGCTGTGCTCTCCAGATAATGAGATTCCGCTTTTTCCATGTAGTTTGTCCACTCAGCTTTAATAGAACAAGCAGTGTTCTGCATAACTGACATCTCTTCTTGTAATCTGTTGGTTCTACTAGCTGCACTGTCCCGAAGTCCATCAATTGCACTTTGAACCTAGGGAAGAACAAGAAAAAAAGGGAAAATAGGGTAATTAAATATCGTATGTGAAATTACTCTTACAACGATACGATAATTAGATCCACACAAAAATTTGATACATAAACTCTAGTGTCATGAAATCAAAGATATACTGCCTTAACACAAACACTTGGTGTGTAATAAGAAGTTACGACGATGTCCTGGTGGCAGCTGGCAAGTAAAAAAGAGATATTAATAGTTGACTCTCATTGTTGACGATTTTTTAACCCCTTTCATGACTACCCAATATATGCTTTAAAGATTTTGTTATTGCCCATTACACGTATCACACAAAAGGTAAATAGAAGCTAAAATTGAAAATACTTTTATAATAACACTAGCAACTTCAATGGTTGTGAAACCAAGTCTCAACAGCAAATAAGGGCTCAAAGGATTTATGGAAAACCCCTCATGAAAGAATATTGAGGACTATATTTTACATGAAAGAAGCTGTTTCAAAGACTTACCAGCTTGTAGTTTTTGTATTAATGAGTATAAAAATAGCTTGTTAGACATTTTGGTTATTCTTATAACATTGGAATATCTTCTTTGATTTAATTTGAGTACTAATGTATCCCGACAGTGGTTTACAAACACTTGGCAGAACTATCTTGGAGGATCAATGAAAGTAGACACAGAGATGTGGTAGGTAGATGTAATTAATTCATCTTATCCGTCTATCTACAAGGACTGAGTAAAACACAGGTTACTCAAGCAGTGGGCTAAAATGCCATGTAGATTCGAATCTAAATTTCTTAAATTGTCAAATAAAATGATTGTAATACGGTGTGCATACCAGCTTTTTCTTCCGAGCATTTGAACCAGCAAGCAGCTCTGCCACTTTTTCTAAGATTTGCCTTTCTTCATTAGCAGCACACTCCTATAGAAAAATGAGACAGCCAACACAGATTGAATTTAAAAAGTATGCTAAATCCAACCTAGAGTCTTTTACATGAGGGGATTATTTACCTCAAACTTCTTTTCAAGCTCAGACAATTTCTGATCATTAACCACCTGTGCTTCTTCCACAATTTGGCCCAGTTCTGTAGCATGCGTATCCAAACTCTTGAAGAAGTTTACATTAATTTGAGAAATTGATCTTGTGGTAGCAACAGCTCTAGTATGAGCCTGGAAAATATGTCAAATTGTCAACTGCATCCCCTTCTTGAAATGAAAAATTAAAAACAAAGAAAGTGCTGGGAATCAAAACAATCTGCATTTTAGGTAATAAAGAAAATGCTAACCTCACGTTGCTGTTGTGCATATGCAGTTAATTTATTCTTCTGACTGTGCAGACTGTTTTGAAGATCATGTAGTAGTGTATCAGCCTCTGAAGCAATTCCTTTGAATAGCTGCATTGTATGAACTAATATCAAACACGTGCTAAAATAAGGTTCTAGAATAATTTCTCTGAGAGATTCAATGCATTCAAACCTCTTCTAAAGCTGAGGAATGCTTTGAAACTTCAGAATTCAGACAACCAAAAGTTGACTGAGAGTTATCATCAAGCTCTGCAGCTAAATCTTTCAAAACCTTGATGCCAGAACCATACATGGTTTTCAATTTTGATAGTCGACCTCGAAGCTCTTCAGCAACCTACAAGCGTACAAGATGAGAACCTGTGTCAAATGAATAACCATATACCACCTCTAGAGGCTTTTACAATTTAATTGCATATACCTCACTCTTTGTGGATACAAATGACTGCATATCTTCCTCCATTTCCTGCAGATTTTGCTCTTGTTGTGTAGCCGAAGATGACACAGTTTTATGTAAGATTTCAAGCTGCTGAGTCAATTGGGATTGGAAATTCTGGATAATAATTCTGTTTCCATCTTCTATTTTGTCCTTGCGTTCTGGAAAATCGGCCATGTATATAAACTTAGAATAGGTTCTTGTGTTTTTCTTCTGAAAAATAATACTGCATATTCAATATTCCAAAATTAGGATGCAAACCAATCTTCGTGAACAGATTAGAGACATCTGATGTTGCATTCTCCAGTTCTGTCCGAAGCTCAAGTGCCCGTTCAAGAAGCGCTTTCTCTGGTGGAAAGTATTCATACAAAAAGTCATGAAGCTGTTCCATGGATGTCATTTTATTCAAAAACAGTGGACAAAATCAGGTGTAGCTATATACTTTAGATAAGATGAATCAAAACAGCAGTTAAAAACATTCCCAAAATGTCAGCTGAGCCAAGTGAAATTTGGAAAAGGAACCACCTAATCTAGTGTTTTTTTTAAGAGGGGAGTGGAGGCAGGAGGGGAGAGAGGTACCAATCCTTGAACCCTTGACCTCAGTAGTGGAAACAACCAACCCTAGGCAATTGGAATAAGGAGAATTGGTACCAAAGTCTAACAATTTCAGTTCAGAAATATTTGGAAGGAAGAGAGCAAAGACAACTATTTAGTATATGGATTTTTATGTTTATTTTTACTCTTTCTCTCCAGTTTATTTAGTTATTTTATGATCAAGGAAAAGTTTTCTTACAGAATCACTTAGAGCCTTTTAGATAATAAATTATGAGATTTCATATTATACCGGGTGAAACTGGGTTGAAGGAGGATAATGCAGCAAGAAATTGAAAGTTTCTTGTGTGAAACTAGGTTGTAGGATAATATGCACAGAAAGTGAGACTACCGGATTTAAGAAGGTTGGATATCAGGTATTCCTTCTCTCTAATTGTTGCATTTGCCTGCCTGTGTCTTTCTTCAAGATCAAGCAATGTGTTCTCAGTTTCCTGTAGCTTTTTCTGAATTATGAGAGGAACATTGTTATTCCATGACGGCAAAGGAAAAGGGAAGTAAATTTGTAGTTTGGATAGGGTGAACATTCAAACATCACACCTCAGACTTTTCAAGTTTTTCACTCAATTCAGCAGTCAACTGCCGCTGAAAATTGTATAATTCCTGGATCTCCATCAGTTGCTGCTTACAACAAAAACACAATTTTAGTAATTATTCAAATATCTTAATAGTATCCACAAAAAGTTATCCAAATAATCAATATTTTATGTTAAAATACCTTGTCCCTGGATTCTAAATCAAGTTCCATATGTTCAATCTTTTCAGACATGGCCTGAAGGGGGAAAAACAAAACAAATTTTGAATTTCACAAGAGAATCTCTTGAGTAATTTCATAATATCATTAAACTAAGTTTCCTAATGTCAAACCTTTTTCTCTGCCTCCTCCTGGAGATAACGATCTCTTGGTATATATATCCCATTCTTCTCTCTGGCAGCATACACCTCTGATGGACATAAGTTTGTTGTAAGGAACTCATCCTTGTAAAGTGTTGAAAAGTACAGTAAGCAGTCATACTTTTAGGAATCTTGTTATTTAAGAGATTCAATCCTAGCAATTACAGATTAGCTATGTTTTCTCTTTCTTCTTTCCTTCTTCTCTCTCTCTTTATTTTTTTTTTATTTTTTTGGAAAATGTTGTCTTTTATGTCTATATTTTGTACTCTTTTTCATTCAGAAATATACAGTCATGTCTAATATTTCAGATACATATTTACCCAGAATTAAATTAATCACAATCAGCCACAAAAAATTGAACTTTCCTCTTCAAATCACAACTAACAGGTAGAATGTCTGAATTATGGTCCCAATCCGTGAAGATGTTTGTTCGTGGTAATGGAAAATTTCTTGACTTATCCGGTACTATAAAACAACCAGAACCAGAGAATGAATCAGATATTTAGGTATGGGAGGCAGAAAATTCCATGGTTATGGCATGGCTGGTGAATTTAATGGAGATTGATATAGGTAAGACATATTTGTTCTTATCAACAGCAGCAGAAATCTGGGAGGCTGCTGCAGATACGTATTCTGATGTTGGCAACTCAGCTCAGATTTTTGACATCAAGGCAGACATTCGTCAGATGAAATAAGGAAGTCAAAGTGTCACCATGTGTTACAGTGTTTTGAAAGGTTCGTGGCAGGAACTAGATCAATATTATGATGCTGAATGAGAATTTACTGATGATGATACTGGGTACAATAAAATGCTTGAAAAAGAGAGAGTTCGAGTTTCTTGCAGGACTTAATTCAGAATCAGATGAAGTAAGGGGGAGAGTAATTGTCAAGGAAGCATTTTCTTCAATTGTGAAGTATTTGTCTATGTGAGGAGGGAAGAAAGTAGAAGTGTTATGATGGGAAAGGACAAGCTGGTCAATCATATGAGACTTCAGCTTTGGTTTCTGCATCACTTGAGATAGCCCTTGTAAGTAGAAGGTTCTTGAGGAGAATAATAAAAAATGGTGTGATTTTGTTAATAGACCAAGGCATGACAAATATACGTTCTGCAAATTACACAGTAAAACGACAAATCAAATAAATTCAAAATTCTTTGATAAAGGAAATCGTGTTTTTCAGGCAATGACAGCCAACTTAATTCTGGAGCTTTAGATGCCCAAAATCAGCCCTTCACAAAAGAACAAATAGAGTTGCTGCACAGGTCCAACTGTCAGACTAACAGTATCCTTCTTTCCACCTCTTGTTCCATAGTTAACAAGGTATTTTTAACAGCTTTGAGTGCTTATTTGAAAAACAGTATTCCTTGCATGCAGGAGTAACAAATAATAGTTTTTCAAATTTATTCTCCACTTAAAAGTTAAGACAGAAAATGGATCTTTATCCTCAGTTGCAGGAAAAGGTTCAATACCTATTTCAAAATTTCTGCTGTTAAAATCGGTTGTCCATGTTCCTAATCTAACAACCATTTTTCTATAAGCAAGTTCACAAATGACTGTGATTGTGTGGCTAAATTTTTCCTAGTGAATTTCAGGATTTAGCTTTGCGGAAGATGATTGGCAAAGCCAGGGAAAAGATGGATTGCTTTACTTTTAAAGACGGTCATCTACTAGAGGGACAAGCTCGAACGGTGAATCTCTCTCCTCAATCTAGCTTAGTTAAAATTATGTTATGGCATCATATATTAGGTCATTCTAGTTTTCATTATTTGCAAAAATTGTTTCTATTATTGTTCAAAGGAAATAATCCTTGTTTCTTTCAATGTGAAATTTGTATGTTATCAAAGCATCAATTATCTACATTTTCTTTACAGCCTTACACAAAACCTGCACCTTTTGTTCACGAGTACCTAATCTCTCTCGCAAAATGTTATACACAAACTATGGAATTGACTACCAAGAAGACCTTTGCTCCAGAAGCTAAATTGCACACAGTTAGAATTCTACTTCCATTCAACCAACAAAGGATTGTCACTTCATTAACTAGATCCAAAAAATGCATTTCTTAATGGAGAATTGGCAAAAGAAGTATATGTGCAATTACCTCCAGGTTTTAAGGAATATTATGGAACACCTATGGCTTGGTTTGGTAGATTTTTAATAGCTATTCGGTAATCTAGTCATTCTCATAGTCAAGCTTGTTCCTTAAGCATTCAGTTGAAGGTAAAATTTTCTTACTTACCGTATACTGATGATATTATCCTAACAGGTGATGATGAAGAAATTGAGAGCTTAAAAAAATTCTTGCTGCTAGGTTCTTTAAAATATTTCCTAGATATGGAAGTAGCTATACGAAGAACTTGGATTATAATCTCTCAAAGGAAGTATACTCTTGATCTATATAAAGAAGTGGGGATGTTACAATGTAAACCTGGAGAGTATCCCATATATGCAAATAAGAAGCTTGGAATGTTTGAGAAAGGCAAAGAGGTAGATAGCACAGTGTTATCAAAGATTAGATGGTAAACTGATTTACTTATCACATACTAAGACGGATGTTGCATTCTGAATTCGTTTGGTAAGCCATACATGCATTCTCCAAGGGAAGAACACCAAGAAAAGGATTGTTATTGAACAAAGATACATGAATAACAAATTCAAGTAGAAGCATTCATAGATGAAAATTGGGCAGGTTCAATAGATGATAGAAGGTCAACTTAAGGTTTTTGTACCTTTTTAGGTGGAAATCTTGTGACTTCATGACTTGGTGCAGTAATATACAATCTGTTGTTTATGTTAGTAGTGTAGAGGCTGAATTTATAGTGGTGGCATGTGCGAACATGGCTAAAGAGGCTTCAAGATGAGTTGAAGGTAATCATAAAGGGTCCTATAAAACTTTATTGTGACAACAAGGCAGCTATAAACATAGCCAAGAACCTGGTCCAACATGATAGAACGAAACATGGAGATTGATTCGACAGTTCCTAAAGGAAAGAGTGGAAAAATGGTTTGATTTGCATACCATTCAATCCTACAACAGAGCAGCAGGCTGATTTATCCACCAAAGGGTTGTCCAAACCAACTTTTGATGCAATAATCGACAACCTGGTTTAATTGAAATCTTTGAACCAACTTGAAGGGGTGTGTTGAAAAGTACAAGTTGTTGAAATCTTGTTATCTAAGAGACAAGTTGTCCAAATTGTAGAATTTACGGATTAGCTTTTTATCTTAGTTTTCATCATTATCCTATTTTTAAAAAAGGATAAGTTGTTGTAAAAGAACCTAGGTTTATGTAGTCTTACATCTATATATTTTGTACTCTTTTTCGTTCAGAAATATCCAGAAAAGGTCCATAAAACTGTCACCATAAAGAATAGCACTTAAACGAAGATCTAAAGTTTCTTTTGCAGAACTTATGTGAACCTAGACAAAATTCACACACACATCTCACAGGAGATGAGAAACTAGAGGGAGGGCGGGAGGCAGAGAGAAGGAAAAAATCAACAACCTTGCTTTAACCGGTCAATTTCCGAGTACAGATCCTTGATCATTGCAGATTTCATCATCTTTTGATTAATCTGTAATTATAAACAAAGTTGACTTCGTCAACTGGTCCAGTCCAATAAATAGCTAAAAGAAACAACCGTAGTTCAACTTATTTTTTCTGTCAAAAATATCAAAAGTGCTGACCTCTGGTTTGTTCTTTATGTTTTTGGCACGGTGAGCATAATCTAAAGTACTGAGTGTCTCTTCCAAACAGTGAATGGAGGGTGATATTGTGGCAATTATACACGTCTTTGTCTTCCCTCCCAGAGAATCTCTTAGCAACCTTGTTAATTTGCTGTCTCTGAGATTTCAAGTGATATGTCAGATATAAGTTTATCTACCCTGAAACATGTCCGGTTACCCGTATCCATAATTGAGAAGTTGAGTGGACCTATACCTATATGGTATGTGACCAGAGTGCTCGACCAAAGCATTTATAACCCGACCAAGTGTCAGCAAGCTCTTGTTGATCTCACCTGCTTCCCTTGCTCTTCCCTGCAAAAGTAAATCAAATTTGTTTAGATCAAAATTAACAAGCAAGGAGATGGAAAAACTTGTAATGCATGTCAGAGTCCAAAATTTCTCGTCTACCGAGTACTGTACTGCAGAACAGTTCCCTTTACATGGAATTTCACCCCTTGGGAACCGTATATTTAGGACACTATCTTGCATAGAAGAAATTTTTGATGATCTCTCATAAGCAACAAGGTTCCGCCACCCATCTGGACCCATGGAAACAGTATAACAAGTCCAAAATCTTGCACTGTAAATTATTTATAACCTCTCACCTCTCTAGCACCAGAGCGTGAAATATTTTCTGAGCCAGCAAGATCAACAAGATTCAGCTTCCCACATTTAATCATCTCCTCTCCTTCTGGGGTGCACTCCTTGATGTGAATTGTGATAGAAAATATAGAGTGAGAACGACTGCTTTGTTTGTTAAGAAGGGTTTCCGCCGTTCGTCTTTTAGCAGAACCTTTTTCTAAGATTTTATATATTTCATTAGCAGTCGTTACGATCTCTTCTTCCAAACCTCTAACAAAAACTCCACCTTTTCCGTCTTCCATTAGTGCTATCGGTTTCTTCGATTTGTCATCTAAGAACTTTGGACATTCTTCGGATGCCAGAAGATCCGTTATTTCCTCATTGTAGAGCTCTAGGAATGTAACTTTCATGCTATATTCTGCATTTTGATCTTCTAAGATATCAAAAATTTGTCGAACGGCTCTTGGAATAACACCAGCATCACTTGGGAATTCCCCATTCTAACAAGATTAAAAGTTAAATTACATACATGATGTTAAAAATGCAAGTAGTAGAAAAACAACTTTGCAATTACGTTTTAGAGGCTAAAGTAAACAAATCAAACCTTTTTCCTCGCCCCACCCTCCATTGTGTAAGTCTTTCCTGTCCCTGTTTGTCCATATGCGAAAATGGTGCAATTATAGCCCTCTAAAACTTCAAAGACTATGGGGCAGACCGCCTGATCATATAAATCTTTTTGCTGGGAAGATGGACCAAAGACCTAAACACGATAAAGGTAAATAACTTTTTCTTATCAAAAAGAAAAAAGAACATGAAAGAGAAAAATTAATTGAATAGTAAAATGGAAATCAAATTGCAAGAATTAAGGTCATCACATATATGTTAACTTGACAAACTCATTTTAAATTGACCGCAACTTGTTGACATCAAAATTTAGAATTATGACATGGTATTCAATAGCTTGTATGAGATTCAACATGTTCTTCAACTCTTTGTTCCTTTGTTCCTTTTTGTCTTTGTTTACCTCTTCTGAGTTATCAAAAACAAAACCAAATTAAACATATAACCAGGTAAAAATAGCAAACAGACCTTATCAAAGAAGAAAGTTCTATCTATCTGCTTATTAGCAATGTTTTGAACAGCACAAACTTCTCTTCTGTTATCATTACAAGAAATCACCACTGGTGTATGCATTCTCGTCTCGTCCTCACTCAATGGCCTACAACAGAGGATTCAATCAGAACTCAACTCCAATATCATCAAATCACTTATAATAAAACGAACTCAATGAATTAACTAACCTGCAGCGCACGATAACCTGCACATTGACACCTTTATCCTTATCATGCTTTCCACTTATACTCCCCTCTGATCGCAGATCCCTCACCGCCTTGTCACTTGATCGCGGAGTCTGCGACGGTGATATTGGTACCATTCCCCCTCCTCCTCGTCGTGAAGCATCCATTTCTATATAATTAACACTCAGATTCAAATCTCATAACCTTCTTTTCATCTTTTCCTATGCAGTAAATCAAATTAACCCATCCAACTTCATCACTCCATGGAAAAAATCTCAATCAACCAATACATTACAAATAATCGACACATACAACTGAAAAAACAGAATGTACGTTGTTTTGAAGCAGTAAAAAGTAGATTTCATAGAAAAATGAAAAAGAAGGCCGATTTATTTTTGATAAAATGACAAGATATCTTATGGATAAGATTTAAAAATCGCAGTTATGCGTGCATATGAAGGTATACTTACAGTGAATTTGGAAGACCGACAGTAGATGGAAATGTAGTGAACAGGGTACAGATAGCAATAGTTCAGTTTAGAGAGATAAAATACTGCTGCATAGAGAGAGAGAGATTACATGAACGTGGTGAAGTGGTAGATTTTTAAATTTTAAATAAAGAAAGGTAGGAGAGAGAAGTATGAGGCGACAAGAGATGACGGCGTCAGACGATCGTTTAAACAGAAAGGTGTTGGCCGTTTTAAAAATAGGCTTTGCTTGATTTCCATTTCCTTCAAATACATTTTTTCTATCTTTCATTTTCAATTACACATTTTTTATTAAAATAATATTACATATAAATTAAAAAATATATTTATTTTTTAACCATATATTTTTTTATCAATCTTCTATTCTAAAATACATTTTTTAAATAAAACTAGAGCTCAAACACCCTCATAAAATAAATAAGAGACATAATTTTTGTGAAGATTTTTCTCAACATTCAAAAAAATCCTATAAACAAAGAGTTTTGCTTCTTGTACATCAGGATTGACGCTTTGATATAGAGTCCCCTAACAAGAAAAGAGTCATGCCCAATAAAAGAGGGGGCTCTACACCAAGGTGTCAACCCCGACGCCCTAGTGTACAAAAAGCAAAACTTGTCAACAAATCTAAAACACAATGTAACAAAATTACTCTCTCACCACAATTTAGCCCTTGTTTGATGTGGCATTGAAAAAAAATATATGATATTTTGAGTAGTGATTTTTTGGAAAATATATAATTAAAAAGTATGAAAAAATTTGAATTTACGTGCAAAATATTTTAGCACTTATTTGTCTTCCTTTAAAACAAAACTCTTTAATTTTCAAACTCATTTTTAATTATACATTCACATCATAAAATATTTTATACGTAACTATAAAAATTTTCATTTTTTTCAATAAGTATGAGAAATAAAGAGTTTTGAAGTAAAAAGAGCCAAACAGGAGCTTATAATACTATGGCCATATTGAAAGAAGAAAATCAGATAATGTAATAGATAAAAGGGAAAAGTTCACAACTTGGGTATTAACTTTGGTCAATTAAATTTTCAGATTTAAAGTTTCAAAATTCAAAACTCGAATTATAAATAAATATTTAAAAATATTTTATTAGTCAAATATATTAAAGTCACAATAATACAATTAATGGTCACATATGCGTACTTATAGGTAATAATTTATTTATTGATCACATATTATTAAATTAATTGACCATGAATTATTTTTCGATCACAAATAAATTTTTTATAGATCATAAATTATTTTACGATCAAAGATAAAAAAATTTCATTGGTCACAATTTGTTTATTAGTCACAAATCAAAAAAAATTATATATTACAATTTATTTATTAGTCATAAATCTCAAAGTTTATAGATTACAACTTATTACACGGCCAAAAATATCAAATTATTGGTTAAAAATTAACAAATTTTTAGATCACGCATTATTTATTAATCACAATTTATTTATTTATTGGTGACAATCAACAAAATAACATTTTATGGCTACCAACACTTGTGACCACCACCTCACCAATGCCTCCAGTCGCAACACCGTCGCCACCTCAACGAAAATTTCACCATCTAAAACAAACCAACACCCATCACAAAAAATCACCGCTACATCACAACCATCGCAACAACACCAATGGAACAACGCGTATAATTGATCACAACCACCACCGACACCAACGAAACAATGCATCACAACACAAATAATTTATCACAAACACTTTTCATCCTACAATCCACTGTCACTGTCGCCATCACCACCGCCACCACACCACCAACTCCTCGCCACCACAAGTACAACCGTTACCACACATTACCACCACCTAACCAGATCCCATCAACTGTAGCCACAGTGGCACACACACATCCAAAAATAGTTCTCGTATCAAAATTGGAGTACAAAGGGTGTGTTCATAGAGAGAAGATAGAGAGGGAAAAAGTTGGGAAATGATTATTGTTTGAGAGTGAAATCGGGTTGGTAGAGATGGGCGGGGAGGGTTCATATACTAATTTAATTTTATAATAATATTATTAATATTTTAAAAATCAACTAATGCCTAATTTTCTATAAAATAAACCTCAGACTTGATTTTTGAATTGAAAAACTGAAATACCTATTTATACGTAATTTCCTCTAAATAAAATTCATTTTCCTAATAGTATTTACCAAATAATTTTAGATTTTACACTTATCATATTTTTATTTTTGGGGAATAAAACAATCTAATAAATTAAAATCAATCCTTATTTTATATTATTAATTTAATTCAGAAGATTACTAGGGCTGAACAATAAAATCTTTCAACCGAAAAATTGGATTGAAATCACTTTTTTTTAATATCGTTAGTCTGGATCCACGAGGATCCGTTAACGTTTTGATTTTGAATCAAACAAAACCGCTTCAAAGTGGCTTGGTTCATATCTCAATCTCTGCAAGCCATTTCAAATCATCAAACTATTTACCAAAAATAAAAATAAATTAATTCAAAGTTTATTCAATTCAATTCAATTAAAAGTAAACACATTCCAATTAAAAATATACATTTATATAAGATATAACTCAATTAAATTCAATATCTAAATAGACAAGTATTCATCCAAATTAATTATTTAAATCAAACCCAAATGTCTATTGGCCATCATAACTGTGAATGTAAAACTCCTCAAATTGGATGAAGTGGTGAATAATTGATCTAAACCATATTCATCGACACCCATTACAATTGAGTAAACAATTAAATCTAGATTTTAGTTTAAACTTACACATTTTATTCCTTCTATTAATAATTTTCTTTAATCGACTAAATTTTCAAGTCAGTTTACCCAAATTTAATATTTTGGGGGTAATTGCTTGCTATATTTTATTGATAGATCTAATTTATTTGTTCTAATTTGTACTAGACTTCCTTAAATTTTTAGCAAATAATATTTTTTGTTTATTTGGATCTCAATTTTCTGGTTAGGTCACTCAATTAATTATTTACTTATTAACTTAGTTTTTTAGATTTTAGTTTTAATAGCTAGAATAATTTGTTGGATTGCTTAAATGGTCATTTTGAATATTTGACTAATGAGCCTTTCAACATATACTTATATACTTTGATGGAATTGAATATATATAATTACAAGATTGTCCCCAAATTTCTAAAGATGTATTATCTATTCAAATATCTATACTTTGATGGTCAGATTTTTGATTCCTTTAGTGCAAATATGGTTGAAGCAATTATTTGTCTTAAAGATTGGTTGCATAGTAACAACAAACCTACATTGATTCGTCAATATTTGGATAAAGTAGAAGTATTGGATGATTCATATATTATCATATTTGATATTTCTCTTCATTATCTTTTTATTAATTGTTTTATATCATTTAACTATAATAAATGAATTCATGTAATATATTCTGATTGAAAATTTATCACAAATCCTTCAAATTGAATTGTATTAATTTCTAATGGTTACTTGGAGAGTGGCATGTGGATTTTTAATTTAAGAAAATTAAGAAGATTTCTAGATATTCTAAAGATTTATTTAGATAATTTCAATAATTAGATTCTAAAGAAAATATTAAAGCACATTTGGTTTGTGTTTTATTTTTCAAATTTAAGTTTAGAATTCATTTTTTATTATTTTTTTGGTCATTAACGTCTGTTTAAGATTAACTAAAAATAGGTTGGTTTATCTTTTAGAAAAATATTTCTCAAAATAAAAAACTAGACAACACGTATGGTTTGAACTATTGAGAACTTGTTTTATGATATTTTATTTCATGAAATTCGATTATTCAGTTAGTAAATTTTACAATATTGCTTTGCTACAAAGTAGTAGTAGTAGTAGTAGTAGTAGTAGTAGTAGTAGTAGTAGTAATAATAATAATAATAATAATAATAATAATAATAATAAAGTTTCATAGGCAAAAGATAGAAAATAGAAAATGAAAACTAATGACGTGAACTAAGAATTTTTATCTGTGTTCTTTGAAATATATATAACTTTTATTTAAATAACTATTAAGAGCTTGAACTATTTTTTTTTTTTTCAAATTTTCATTTTTCTAGTTTTTTTTTTCCAAAATTTTTATTTCTAAGCCTTTTAGAATGTTTTTAATTTATTTTTTCTCAAAAATTATATTTTATTTTTCAAAATCTATATTTTTTATTTTTCGAAATTTGATTTTGTTAGATTTTTCCTACTGAATTTTGTATTATCGAAATATACTGCTTTTGTTATCGAAAGTAGTAGGCATATTGTATACACTCAGATTAATATTAGTACGTAGGGCTGTCAATGTATTAAATTTTGATCCGAATCCGATGAAATTAATGGCAGATGAATTTAGGGTCTCGATCTGATAAGTCGATTGAGATCCGAATCCAATAATCTGTTAATTAAATGAATCAAATATGGATATAGTTCAATCCGATCCGATAACAACCCTATAAGATTTATTATAATAATATATTACTTTTTTATATTTTCGCATAATTTATGACATTATTTTTTCCATTTTGAAAATTGTATTATACTTTACATGTAATTTTTAAATAATAAATAATATTACATAATAGTATAATATTTTTAATTGAAATTTTTGAAGAGATTTAATTTTTTTATTAATTAAAATAAGATAAAACTAATAATTAATTTATTGATTAGATTTACTACAGTAATTTGTTTTATAACATAAAAAACTAATTGCTTGTTTGATAGGAATTTTGATAATTGATTTTTAACCGTTAGAAATAAAGCGGGTCCTGCCTGTGCGAGAAAAATTCAAAAATGACGACTGAAATAGTAAAATAACGATAAAAAAATTTGATTTTAATAGATTTAAAATCTGTACCAAACAAGTACTAACAATTAATATTTCCAAAATAATTTACTTT